CCCCAAAACCCCAAAACCCCAAAACCCCAAAACCCCTTAGAATCATCAGATTAAAGATTAGATAAGATTAAAATCTTTAAATAGATTAGTGCTGAGTAATGATTATTTCATTCTCTGTCTGAAAGTGCTACAACTCCTGGAAGTTGTTTGCCCTCAAGTAGTTCGAGTGAGGCACCACCTCCGGTACTGACATGAGAGATCTTTTGAGAAGCTCCTGGTACCTTACCAAGTAGGGAAACTGTATCACCGCCACCGGCAACTGATATAGCTCCATTTTAGGTAGCTCTAATAATATCGTCAAGCATTGCGAGTGATCCCTTTGCAAATGGTGCCATCTCAAATACACCCTAGGGTCCGTTCCAGAAAATAGTCTTTGCTCTTTGAATTACTCTGCTGTTTTGCTCAATAGTCTTGGGACCAATATCAAGTCCAAGCCAATCTGGCTGAATACCTTAACTTAAGTCAATCAATTTCGTCTCAGCAGTTTCTTCAAACTTGTTTGCAGTGATGCAATCAACTGGCAAATGAATCTTAACGCCTCTTTCTTTTGCCTTCGCCATGATATCAGGAATAATCTTAGCTCCTTCCGCGTCATACAAAGATTTACCAATCTGCACATTGTCCAATACTTTGTTGAAAGTGAAAGCCATGCCACCTCCAATAATCATCTCATCAACAAGTTCGAGGAGTTTCATGATTAATTGAATTTTATCGGCAACCTTTGCTCCTCCCATTACCACAGTCAATGGTCTCTCTGGGCTCTCAAGAATTTTAGAGAAGTATTACAATTCTTTCTTCATTAAGAAACCTGCAGCTCTTACTGGTACGTCAACTCCGACCATTGATGAGTGAGCTCTATGGGCAGTTCCGAAGGCATCATTAACGTAGAGTTCTCCGAGTTAAGTAAGGGACTTTCTAAATGCAGCAATCTCATCCTTTGAAGCCTTAACTTTTTCACCATTGATTACTCCTTTACCTTCCTCAGCCATATGGAATCTTAAATTTTCTAAGAGAATAACTTTTCCTTTTGATGCAGCTTTGCACTCTTACTCAACTTGGGTACCAACGCAGTCATTCAAAAACTCTACTTTTCTCTTGAGCAAATCCTCAAGAGCTGGAACAATAGGCTTCATAGAGTGCTTCTCTACTCTCTGTCCATCTGGTCTACCCAAATGACTCATTAAGACTACTGATTCAGCTCCATTATCAAGGCAATAGTTAATTGATGGTAAAGCCCCATTGATTCTTGTTAAATCTTTTATTTTTCCCTCTTTAATTGGCACATTAAAGTCAACTCTCATAAGAATTCTCTTTCCCTTGATGAGATGAGGGATGTTATCGATAGCTAGTTTCTTTGAAAGCATCTAAAAGATATAATTATTAAGTCATATTAATGCAATGAATCTATACCTCTGTATAAATAATATTAATATTTATTTAACGATAAATATTTAAAGATGAAATAAAACAGCGCCTCATTACTTCTGGATGCCAAAAATTCGCAACTAAACTAGCTGCATTTTCAGACAATAAATTAGGTTTTGTAAACTTAAAAGAACAATTCAAATTCCTAGCTGAATTATTCGTTGGAAAAGCAAGCCACGCATATGGTCTCTAGTTCAAATGACAATATAAACTTGATTGTAAGCAAGTATCTCAAAAATGAAGAGCCTCTCTACATGAAGGAGAAACACTAGCCTGCGTATAAGATAGACATACTAGCTATGATGAATGAAGATGATGAAGGTATCAATATAAAGGGGAACAAAGCAAATTTTTAGAAAATGAGCAATAGTACTCAATCAACTACTTAAGATTGTCTCCAAAAATCAAGTGCAAGGCTAAATGCTGGCACGAATGACTCGCAAGAAATTCTGAAACCTTAAATATTCAAAGACCTCAGCTCTAAGATTCATAAATAACTCCTATTCAACAACTAGAACTGGTTCTAAACAATCAACAAAGATCCTAATTTCTCTTATTCGTATTTCAACATTAATGAATCAGGCCAATCTCCTTAAAATCTCACTCAGTACAAATAAATCCAGTAATTGTAAGTTATTCATCTTCATCTTGTGCATCAAAATAACTCTGTCATATAGCTATCTTGATAATGAAAAAGACAACAAGATCTCTGAGATAGACTCCTCTTTGAATGATATGGTCTAAGTCACTGAATCAAGCTGGATCGATTGGGATGATAAGAAAAAATTGGAATCGCATATTAGCATTTAAAAAAGTTTAGAAAGTTCTCATAGATTTGATCCCTCAAAGTATTTTGGAGGATTAAAAGTTCAAGATCTTACTAACCCTCCTGATGATCCTAGATTTTATTGTATGCTTTTTTAATTGAATCATTTTAGAAATGTTTGCCAATGAGTAATAGCAGGTTGGATCTCCACCTCCTCCACCATAAAAGACATAAAATGAATCAATAAATCCTAACCCCAATAAATTGTACCATAAATATTATCAGAAACATATGAACTATCAATTTCATCAAAATGACTCTGTTAATAAAAGTTATTGTAAATAGTATCCAGTACCATTGAGAAGTCCAAACTAAATGAGTCTTATTACAAGTACTCAAACTTTGATTTCAAATATCAAGCATAAGTAAACACTTAGCAAAAATGGTTCTCCTAGTCAAAAGATATTAAAGTAATAAACTTCAATATCGAAGATACTTTACTAGTAACTAGAATCAAGTTTAGAAAAAACTAAAAAGAAATTGCAAGCACAAAAATCAACAGCAAAGATTAATTCTGAATAAAAGCTATCACCTAGAACACATTTCAAATCTAACTCGAAGATAATAAGTTCATAGCTCAGTAATAATAAATCAAAATTAGGTTGCAATCAAACATAAAATCCAAATCAGGCACCTATTTCTAATGGTATTTATTCAATAAAGCATTGTCTATCAACTGGAACTTCCCCAATTAGAATTTTAGATAACCAAAATTAGAAACCAAAGCAAATCCTATCAAATAATAAACCTAGAAATTCCCCATTCAGCAGACTGAAATCGTCAAAAGATGATACAGTAATAAAAATGAGAGAAAAACTATCTCCTAAAATGCTAACCGCAGCTTCAAAATATATGAAAAATGCAACTAGATTGCATATTGGTACTTCATCTAGTAAAAAAATGAATAATTCGCAAGTATAAATAATTAAAAGCTTTTTATCATAAGGCTAGGTAAATGCTTTAAATAATAGCAAAGATTCTTCTTTGACTAAGAGTATAGACAATACAAACTAAAAATCATCAATCCTTTATAAATCAACTGAGAAAATATTTGTGGATCTGTCCTCGTGCTAATCTACCAGTCTCAACCAGAAATTATCTTCTATGATTCACTCTCCTGTAAACTTATCGCAATAAAAGAAATCTCAAAAAGCCTTGATACCTCATAGCACTCAGCAATTAGAAAAGAAAAACTAGACAAGACTTAACAGCGCCATCTATGAGACTTTAGTAGTAAATAAGACAAGTATGCTTAAAAAAACAATATCAGAACTGGAAAAAAATCAGCTTGACAATTCTAAACAAAGAAATGACAGCAGAAATAACATTCCGAAACCTAATAAATCATCTTCGAGGAAACTTCAAATCGAAACTATGAATTCAGTTTAGAATTTCAGTACTCATGTTTTTACACCAAAACATTCCCAAAAATCAGGAGATCATAAAGGAATATAAAAAAATCTGATAGTTAGCATAATATCACCAGCAAGTCATGGAACTAACACAAGAGGCAGTGGAAGTAGCTATAAATATAATCAAAATTAGAACAGTGATAGGTTTAAATACAATCATTAGAATAGATTCTGAAGTAAATGCTGTACTGAAGTTAGAAAGTTGGATAGTATATATTTCTTATATTTATTAATTAAGTCAGGATCTGTAAATATCAAATATCAACATTAGTTTTGGGGTTTTGGGGTTTTGGGGCTATCATTAATATGTC